AAACAACAGTAGCCACAAGCTTATTGCCCCAGGGCAGCTGCCCAGGCATCGTGGGGACCGCGTCACACGCGGTGTTTACTCATGTGACTGCCACGAGGAGGATCAAGCCCAGGGGGTCCAAAAGTAGGTGTCAATGTGTGAGGTCGTCGTAGCTATGGAATACCAATAGGAAGACCCATAGCGACCGATGCTGAGTGTGTGCGAAAGCAGTGGGAGTGTTCAAATGCGTGGAAGCACGGATCTGACGCTAACACCCCCCCTCGCCAGCCGGAGCCCCGATCCGGCGAGGATGGTTCAAAGACAAACGGAAGAAATGGCGAAGGCACGCTGAGAACAAAAAGGGAAACAAGGATGAGAGAAAAAAAAATGCAAGTTTCATGATTCATGCAAGCACGCAAAATGGGGTACACTTGACCGTGTGAAACTCAAGTACGAGGGCGGGCAGCTTCGAACTCCTTGATGTAAAAATCGTGAAGGCTGGCCCTAGGTTCCCAGGTTGCCTCCTCCTTTGAGTAACCCATCCACTTGACGAGATACTCGATACGAGGACGGCCCGCACGGCCCTTGGGCCGCACAGCGCGCTTGTCGAGCAAAGTCTCGACTAGATAGTACTCGCCATATGAGTCACGAGAAACTGGAGCAGGACGGAAGTCCTCTGCTGCATTTGCCGGAAGGTGGTAACGGCGTAGATGCTCGATGTTGATAACTGGATGGGCGCGGACGTCGTTCGGCAGCTCAAGTCGATATGCATTCGCGCTCACGCGCTCGAGTACCTTGAATGGCCCAATGCAACGGGCGCCCAATTTCGAGGAGTGTGTGGCACGATCTGTGGGCGACCGCACCGCCTTGATGGAGACCACCACCCAGTCGCCGGGCTTGAACTCCACCATGTTGACCTTCCGGTCATAACGTTCAGCCGCCTCTTCCTGGCCGAGGGCCGTCACATCTGCAACGTACTGCCAAATGCTTTGGAGGCGCCGAAGTTCTGAGTCTGCATCGTTGTCGCCAAAGGCTGCCGCCTTAGGCTGAACTAATAGGGATGACGGTGTCACTGGATGTCGCCCAGTCGCCGCAAACAGTGGTGTCAGGCGAGTGACCTTGTGCGTGGTGCTGTTGATGGCATAGGTAGCCATGGGAAGCATCTGGACCCAGTTGTCGCGGTCGGTCTCCGCGCCGGT